TCAGCAGTCCATAAACATTCCCAGTGATCTGTTACAGTTTGCTTACAAGCCAAATAGACCCACCCTGGACGCAGTCTCTACCCTCATTCATTTCATCACTAAATCGTTGAACAGCTCTGTTAAGTCTGTTCGGTGTGTTTTTCTCGACTACTCTTCTGCATTTGATTCCATTCCTCGATCTAAGTTGTTGCAAAAACTGGAATCGTTTGAATGTCCCAAGCAGTTGTTAGCTTGGCTATCCAACTAATTTACCGATAGGGTACAAATCACTAGATTGGGGAAAGCCATATCGAAACCCTCAATCAACAACTCCGGGGTCCTTCAAGGAGTTGTGCTATCCCCATACTTATTTTCCACTTATATTTGTGATATTCCCTGTGTTTCTCCCGCACGAATTTTGAAATATGCAGATGATGTCGTGTTTTGCCAACCCATTTCTTCTTACTCTAATCTAAGTTCTTTTACCGATAATCTTGATTGAATTCAGTCATTTTCCTCCTCATTGGGGCTAACCCTAAACCCCAGTAAATGTGTTGAGTGTTTATATAGTTTTGCTCGCTCTCCATATCCGACAGACCCCACAGTGATTAAACTGCGACACCTTTCATTTCAAATCCAAAAGCTCAGGCAGTTTTGCGCATCCCAGTCAGTTATTTTTACTTTTGCTTATCAGTGTGTTTCCCCCATCTTACTCTACTGTTCCCCGGTTATTTTTCCTGGTTTACTCAAACAGGACTTCAAAGTCTTACGACGCGGTCTAACCATTATTAGTTGTGTCTCTTCCATTTCTGTGAATGAATTACCTGTAAAGCTTTCCGAGTATCACGTTACTTCCTGTGTGAAATTTGCCGAGAGGATCCTCACAGATCTGGACCACCTATTGTATGCAGAACTGACACTTTGTCATTCCCATCATTCAACACGCTCCCAATTCCGCCAAATTTCATCTCGAATTAATGCATACCGCAATTCACCCATACCGTATCTTGCTCGTCTACTCACAAACAAAGAGCGAACAATAAGTGAACTTTGTCTTAACCTTGGATTATGAATGTCCCCATGTCTGCGAATACTTTTCTCCCCGTTGATTATGTACATTGTGACGGTTAGCGTGTATGCTTTTTAACTGAAATGTGAGCTCCAGTGCTTTCAAAAGTTATACACAATACAATACAATACGAAAATACAGCGGCTTTAAGGGATCAGGTTTAAATTTGTCATTCCTAAATGGACAGACTCGGTTTGTGATCTACTTCAGAGTAAGGGGCATGACTAATTCATTGACATCATTTGCTTTTGAGTAGATAAAACTCTTTTTACTTTCTGAATGAAGTGTCTTTGATGCCACTCGGATCAAATGTTTCACCATCTTATTTCTTGTTTAGTATTAAATGTTATTATTGATGAGTTCATCGGCGGAATGAGTGCTGCCTTTTCGATTTCTAGTTTAAATACACTGTTGAAAAAATGAGAACTCTACTTCAGTGAGATTATATTTATGAGATACCTTCCCAACAAACACCAGAATCTTGCATTCCTTGAAAAATGACTTCCTAAAAAAATCACCATACGGATTAAACGATTCGAAAACCTTCAACGGATAACTCAGGGTCACGTGAACCTTTTAATGCAACCGAATCGATTTGTTCCAACCAGTCATTTTCAGGGACAGTCGGCTTAGTTTCTTATTGGACAATATCAGACCGAATGCTGTGTGTCTGTGCGTTTATATGTGTTTGTCTTACCTCCGTGGGCAGCCTTAAAGGCAATACATTTGAATACTGGAGCCCCCACCAATGACGGACATCTTTGAAATGGTTATATGTTAAGGGCTCGGGAAACACGCCCTGAGGAGAGGAAGAAAAACTGTTATCTATCCGCAATCGATCGGAAACTGAGAAGGCCTCATTAAGAACAGAGCAATCAGTATGATGATGGGGTTAACTGAGTTGAAAATGCTTTTCGAGTTGGGAGAAATTATGTTCGGTGATACGAAATGCGGGTGTGCTGTAGTTACATTATTCTAGTTGAATAAACACTGTGGTCTGTTAGTTTGGGACTTGATTATAACATGTAATTGTCCATTAAATCTTTTGGTACCTGTCTTGCACTCATACTCAGCAATACAGCAATTAACCACTGTGATAACAGTTACTTGGGTTTTCTTTTCTTCAAAAAAAATAGAAAGAACACAAAATACGTGAACAGAACTACGACGTTTTCACATGAACATCTCTCATTGTTTTGAGAGAAATGTCGTACCAAAAACTATTTTGCAGCATTTAAATGTAAATTATGTTATTAGTATCCTCAAATACGACAAATTTTGTGAATCTTTGATACCCACTAGTATTCCGGAGAGCGAATAATGAAGTAAGTGTTATTTTGTTTACTCCGTAAAAATTCAAA